GGAGATGATGCCGACCATTGTATCTACATAGATTTTACGAGTTCAAAGTCAGATGAAAAATTAAATCTTGACGTGCTTTGCAAATGCAGGAAGACAAGGATGGATAAAGACGGCAACACGAGTCTTCCAAGCTCTTAGAATAGCTGTGAACGATGAACTCAGGACGCTGGAGGGTTCTATCTATTCATGCTTTAGTGCCCTTGCTCCCGGTGGGAGGCTAGCCATTATCTCGTTCCACAGCTTGGAGGACAGAATAGTGAAGCATGCATTTCTTCGCATTATCAATGGGGACAACCTTGCTGCTGCTGCTACCGAAGCAGGAGAAAAATGTCCACACAGTTCGGAGGAAATGGAAGATGGCAAAAGAGAAGTGTGGGTTAAACAGACGATACGAGGACAGAATGGGACAATCCTCACTAAGAGACCCATAACGCCGTCTCAAAGTGAAGAGGCGTTGAACACTCGGAGCCGGAGCGCTAAACTGAGGGTAATTCAAAAAGGTCTGCGATAGATGAAAATTGTTAATTGTGGGCTGTTCAATGTTCTCAGCATAACCACCTATGTAAGAGTATAGTAAATATATCACCCCTTTAAGTTTAGCATAAAATTTTCATTTGAGCATCTCTATTGCATGCAATATGTTAGGTCTGAGGCAAGTCAAGTCTAAATTAAGATGAAATGTATGAATTTTGGTACTATTTGTTTTTATTTTTTTTGTTTTGGGAAAAAGTTTTATATTTTACTTTCTACTATTTTTTTCCGTAGATATTGTGAATCAACCTTAAACATATTAAGAATTCGCCTTAAAAACAAATAAAAAATAATATAGATTTGGAATTGAAACCGCCGGTTCTGGTTCTCTGCCGGTTCTGGTTCTCAAAATGGAGGACCAGAACTAAACCTCCCATCTGATGGTTCAGCCCGTTTCCCAACCCCACCCTACACCCCACTAGTAAGAATGAGTTGAATCTATTTAATTCATAGCAAACATTTAGAGGGAGGGATATGAGTTAGAATCTATAAAAAGAGTCATGTTATTTCTTATTTTATACTCCCTCAGTTCCAAAATAAGGTTCACTATTTTACTTGGCATAACATATAAGAAAAGTGAAAATATGTGGTTGAAAGTGATGTAGATGAGAAAAAATTTGTAAGTCACTCAAACTTTTCCATAAAAAGAAAGTGGAAGCTTTTTTTTTGGGATGTTCCAAAAAGAAAACAAGGAGTATTCTTTTGGGACAGAGGGAGTAGAACTTTTGATATTTTTTAAATGCGTTAAATATGTTTTTATTTCCTGTAAAATAAACAACTTTTATTTTTGGTCCCTGTAATTTTATTTCTTTTAAATCATCCTTACAAAAAAATTTTGTTTTGAAAATGGTTCCTAAACATAATTCACACTTCTACTCAATATCTTAATCTTGCATTTTTAATTATCTCAGACACAATTCTCATGGCGTAGATTGTCTTCTTCATCGAATTACATCCCGTTTTCCAAACTTTATTATACTATATTCCTAATATATTTGAGAATTGGAAATATAATATAAATAAAAATACAATTTTGGACGTGAGAATTGTATTGGAGGTAGTATAAATGCAAGACTAAGAAGTTTAATACGAAATAAATGTGTGATCTCAACAAATTAAAAGTATAAGTTATGTTTAAGGACCATTTTAAAAATTAAAATTTTTGTAAGATGACTTAACAAAAAAATATTTTACAAGGACCAAAAATAAAATTCGTCTATTTTACAGGGACCAAAAGCATATTTGACTCTTTTAGTATTTATACCAATATTTAGATAAATTAAGGGCACTGGGTATATTCCTAACGCCGGTCGGCGTTACGCAGCTTTTCACACCCGACCAGCGTTAAACACCGCCCCCCTGCGGCGTGTTTCGGGCGTCACCCCAAACGCGTCATTCGTTTGACGCTGATTCCCCTCCCCCTAACGGCTAATTTAGCCGTTGAAACCCAAAAAAAAAGAAAAATTAAATTATTTTTTTTATAAATCTTAAACTCCCCCCTCCCATTCTCACACCTTCAATCTTCAATCTTCTTCACATTCTTCAATTCTCAAATTCTCCAACTCTCTTTTGAACATGAATCTTTCCGGCTCCGACTTTTTTCTCGACAATCTCGAGCCTCACGAGTCCGCAATGTGGTATTTCCAAGAATACGGGAATCATCCGCCGATGTTCGAGACGCAACAATCGGGGTACGTCGAGCGAGATTCGGTTTCAGAGTTTCAACCGGGACCATCCGGCTCCAAAAAAAGTACACGCTGGAAAAGTCACGTCGACTTGGGTTGACGTCTCCGAGCATCCTATCGTTGGTAAAAATTATATGTTTTCTAATATATTTATGTTTTTATTTATATATAATTATATTTAATCGTGTCATAATAAAAATTTTCGTGTTATACTTTTTTAAATGTTCGGAGCAAACAAAGGATGAACAAGGACGGCTCCTACCGTACCCAGGACCAACTCACTTCAAAATGGAGCCACATCAACCGTAAAGTCCGAAAGTTTATTGGAGTTTACGAGGAATGCGCCCGGTCCTGGAGGAGCGTGACAAACGACGCCGATGTTCTCCGGCTTGCCACGACCCGGTATCAAGATGACGGGCACCAAGGCAAGGTGCCCCTCGATCTTTGGAGGATTTTGAGCCGTTCCCCGAAGTGGCAACAACTCAACAATCCCGACGGCGGATCGTCAAAGAAAAGATCCTCCGTCGACGCGAGGTTGAGGTCGACAACACTATCGGTTCGTCCGAACAAATGCCTGCCGTCAACTTTGCGGATTCCGATGATGAGGACCCCATTCCACGGCCGATCGGAAGAAAGAAGGCAAAATCCATTGCCTCGGGGTCGGGAGGGTCCGGCTCTGTTTCCGTTTCTTCTCGCGACGAAATCGGTCGGGCAATGGTTGAACAACTTCGGGTGTTGAATCTTCGAGAAGAAGAGAGGATGAAGCTAAAGGAGCAGGAGATGAAGCGAAAGGAGCAGGAGGACGAGATCAAAATCATGGAAACCGACCTTTCTACGTTATCGGGTTTCAAACAGATGATCTACGAGCAAAGACAAAGAGAGATCAAGGTGAAATATAATTTACCTTAGTTTTTTTTATTAATGTATCTTTCTTATTATTGTCGTTTTTTAGTTTAATAAATGTAATTTTTTAATTTTAAATTATTGTCGTTTCAATTTCTTTAAATTTAATGAATGTATTTTTTTTATTCTTGTTTCAATATAATTAAATAATAAATTAAATATATTTTATTAATTTAGTTTTAGAAGATGTATATTTAAAAATATAAAAAATGAAGGTTTGAAACCCCAGTTTGAACCCCGGGGCTTCAAACCCATTTCCAGTGAATCTGTGAGGTAAGTTAAAGCTAACGTGGCAGAGAGAAAAATTTTTGAAGCCCTGGGACTTCAAGAGTATTTCCAGTACTCTAAATTAAAGATAGTTTCAATCAAGATTATGTAGAGATATCATTCATTCAAATAGATGTCTGCTCGATTAAGGGAAATTCTTAACGCTCTTTGAAAGGTCACATGTCAAAAAAATATCTAAACTCAAATCTCAAAATGTTTTACCACAACCTATATATATATATATATATATATATATATATATATATATATATATATATATATATATATATATATATATATATATGGGCCGGTTCACGTGAGAATGCACCTTGTTGAAAGAAATAAGAATAAAACAGACTTAAGATCTATTGCATCGTGCGGCCCAGATTGCATCATGCGCTCAGATTTTGAGATGGTGCATCTTTAAAGGATTTTGGTGCATTTTGACATGACGCATTTTCTAACCATTTTGGTGCACTTAATTTTAATTCAATCCTGACCCTTAGATCTCCAAATCTAAAGCACTAGATTCATTCTTATTTCTTTCAAAAGATCGCACCTATATATATATATATATATATATATATATATATATATATATATATATATATATATATATATATATATATAGGGCGGTTCAAGTGAGAATGCACCTTGGTGAAAGAAATAAGAATAAAATCTAGCATTTAGATTTGATGCATCATGCGGCTCAGATTGCATCCTGCACTCAGATTTTGAGGTTATGCATTTTCAAGGGATTATGGTGCATTTCTACATGATGCATTTTCAAACCATTTTGGTGCACCTAATTTTGATGCAATCCTAACCCTTAGATCTTACAATCTAAAGCACTAGATTCACTCTTATTTCTTTCATAAGATTGCATTCTCACCTGAACCAAAATATATATATATATAGTTCAATTTTCATGAATTTACATACTGATTTACTTATCATGAATTTATTTTGTTCAATTTTCTCAATATAAATAGTACATTTTTTATCAACATCTTTTAGAGTGTTACACAAACGACGTGATCAAAAAAGAATCTGCATATTAAGAAAAAACAATATAACAAATATTGATTATACTCGTCTGATTGATATAACAAAGGGTTAGAAAAATCTATATTAATATATTAATTCATTTCTAAAAAATGTTTCCGGGCAATTTTTCATGATGTTGCAAAAGAGTTTCTTTAATTTCCTAACAATTCCTGAAAATCTAAAAAATTGGTGTGAGATACTACTAAAAAAAGTCCTACCCCATGTTGGTTAGAGAAGATTAAATATTTAGGCATTAAAAAAAGATTTTTAATTGGAAATGAAATTTACTAAAAGTTAATCTCCATAGGCTGAAGATCCTAAAAACAAACCAAGTCAAGCCTGTTTGGTTATTCATATCAGGAATAACCAATACATGTATTACACAAATGTACATGAAAATTAAAGAGATGCATGTAATGTGTGGGTCAAGTACCAAATCCTTGTGTCAATATCCTCTTATAATTTCTATTGCACCCAGATGCTGTATAACTACTAATACTAAGCTCTATGTAACATGCTTCTTTTGCCGAATTTAACCCTAACCCGTTTCGGAGATTTCTCTCCCAAAAAAATAAAAAATGAATATCCAAAAAAAAATGCTTTGTAAAGTTAAGAAGTAATAATAAGATGTCTTAAAAAAATATCATACAGAGTACAGCTGAATCAGGAAATAGCTCTTTGCCTCATCCATTTTGTGGCAGACCACTTCTCTCCGGACACAACCTCACATCCTCCGTGCAGGCTACTCGGGTCCAATTCTCCATTGAGCCCCTGAAAGGGAACAACACAAGTGAATAGAAGGCAATATAGCTCTCACGTAAGACTCATTAAATCAATTAAGATGGATGCTACACAATAAAATAAGTTAACGAAACCATTGAGCACATACTGTTGGAAATCCGGGGGCGGGGGTGATAATTATGTACAACGGTGTGCGAACGAACGTGAAGAAACTCGACGTGAAGAAACTCGCCAGATAAACGAATAGTGTGATCGTTTTCAGATTAAAATCCTTCAACCGGATAAGACGTTAGTGTCTAGAACAAGTATCTAGGACTCCATAATTATAGAGCACGAAATGATCGGATGCGTCTCTTGGCCAAACAACACAATTTTACGTAGAACATTCGAATGTTTGGCCACAACATTCGAATGTATCAGCAATTATGTTAAACATATTGTTTCATCGGTTTTCTACGTGAACCGTCACGTCTTATCGCGAAACATTCGAATGTTTACTACTAAACATTAAAATGTTACGTGCGGTTTTGTAAAGGTTGTTGGAGGTAATCTTTGCATTCGAATGTTCCCTTATTTTGACTTTGTTTACGGAAATCCAAACGATTTTCATAAAGCAACTATGTCCAACATAAAATTTTGCTGCAACCCTAGCCAGGGGCTCTACCACTTGGACCCCGCTACGGAACTTGTAATATCGTTGAACGAGCGCGCATTCCGCACCACCGAACTCATTAACAACATCTAATAAAATTCCCATCCGATCTAAGTAAATCCAATTACACAAAGTAGCTGATGACACTAAAATTACCAACATATACCAACAGTCTGACTTTGTCTATGACTTTCCAATAGCTATCCTAAGTTTTCAACAGAAATACCATTACACTCTTCTAACTACGTAGTAGCAGCACAAGTGAGTTCATAAAAGTTGTAGCACACCTATTAACCATGCACTGCATTTATACATGCACCGGGTAACAAACTCGCAGAGGCAAAAAGCCTAGGCAACTAGTCCTACACAAGGGTAGACCTGTGGAGTACTACCCAAGCTACCCTATCACCATAATCCTAGACCTTCATACGCTCATACCTAAGGTCATATCCTCGGTAGGATCCAGAAGTTGCAAGTAATATCTAATCACCTCTTTCCGACTCTTCTTAGGTCGACCCCTACCCCTCCTTATGTACCATACCTCAAGCCTTTCGTTCCTCACTGGAGAGCATCCATACTCCTCAGTATGTGCCCAAACTTTGACAACTCTGAAAGAAAAAATTACATTGAGTCTGGGATATTGAAAGGTCAGGGGGAGTTGAACATTAAGGAATGTAGGTCACATCAATGAAGGAACTTCTGCAAATGTTGCAGGAAGAAAGCATGGCCAGTGAGAATAGAGTGGGTTCGAAAACAATTTTTTTCCTTCTTGGCACCATATCTAATTTAACTGTAACTAGAAAGACAGACTTCTAAATGTATAATCATGCTAACAGATCAAGCAGCCATATGGTCCTCGTTCTAATTAGTCATTCTTGGTCTTCACTCTTCACTCATGCATTCATTAATGGTAAGATGAATGTAATTCCTTTAACAGGACATTGTAAACCTAGAAATTGCTTATTTTTATCAAGGTCTTTTATTTTATGTTATGAACATACTGCTACATCTGAGACAGAAAAAAATCAGATAAAAATCCAGAACAGCACATAGAAAAAACAAGCTAAAACAGGCAAAAGGCACCAACCATGCTCCAGAACAGCACGGCATTTCCTTTAGCAGGCTTTACACTTAACCCTTTAACCATTTTCCCGCCACAGCTACACTCACTGTTACCTGCCTGCGGATGGCATCAAGGTAAAAGAGCACAAACATTAAATAAAAAAATAAATTGGGGTAGACAACATTAAAAAGGCAAGGGAAAGAGAAATTACTATTTATCTAGTTATAAAAAAAAAGTGCCCGTAGTATACAATTACAAGCATGAATGAACAAAATATAAAAGTACACAATTACGAGTATACATTTCATTTAGAACTTAAAAGTATCATTGACTGTGTCATACGAAATCACACATGACAGCATAACTGTGTTCTTATTACAATCTTTACTAATGAAAGTAATGTATAACAAAGCGCTGACGTGATTAATGTGATCAAGATAGCTAGTTCTCCACGATTTCGCTCAACTGAATTCAGATCCAATGTTGTGTCAGACAAATGCAAGTTGCACACTGGGACAGTACTACTTTTCGAACTATCAGTTAAATAATCACTTATCAGACATAATTAGTGGTGTCTTCGCATCAGTAGTCAATTCCCTCAAACAAGGAGTACAAATGTTGCGTACTTGCGTGTCATTAAAATTTGATGCAACCACCAACACTGTGTGGTAACCGACACCCCCAATTGATTGGTAATTTGGTTCTGAGACTTCTGGGATCAAGGAATTAACCTTCGAGATAGTTGCAATTAACCTTGATAATGAAAGGAATCTCACTTGAGAGAATGAGAGATTCTTAAGTTTCAAACTAAAATCCGCTCAAGAATTTTATAACACTCTTTCCATAATCAAACTGGTCTTTCAAATGAGAAATAAGATAGGCCCAAAACTACAAAAGATTACAACCTAATTAAAATGGCATAAAACCCTAAAATATTACCAAAACAGCAACAACCCAGTTGCATCCCACAAAAGTAGGGACTGTGGAGGGTGTGTGTACACAGACCTTGCCCCTACCCGAAAGTAGAGAGGCTGTTTCCATGAGACCCCCGGCTCGAGCTACACATAAAAAGGATCACAGTAGATACAAAAGGCAAGGAAGGCATAGGTACAACTCAAATCAAGCAGCAAGCACATAGAGTAAAAACTAAACTGAATAAAGTAATGTTACGAAACGAGAGTATTGCAATCAAATGGAAAATAGCACCAAACGTAAAAGGTTGTACAAAGCACACAACAACACCCCCTAGCTCAAGACACCTACCCAACTACTATAATCCTATCTCTCCAAACGCTCCTATCTAAGGCCATATCCTCAGTAAAGGCAAGAAGTCCTAAGTCATGTCTAATCACCTCATTCCAAGTCTACCTAAGTCTACCCCTTCCCCTAGCCCTAAAATATTAAAATTGAATATTTTCAATATAATTATTCATCTAATGGGATCTTCAAAATCAAAGGTGGCGGTCTTGTTTGGAAGTGCATTGATACTCATGTTGGTGAAAATTAATGCAAAATCCAAATAAAATACCCAGCTTAAAAATATAGTGCGGATGCATCAACTTGGAAAACCTTTTAGACCAAGATAAAGTCTGAATCCTGGAAAGCGTTCAAAAGGAAAATTACAGAGGGAACTCTTACCTTTCTGTAGAATTTTGAATCATCCAATCGGATTTTGTATGAGTGCAATATGGTCAATTTGCTAGCGCATATGCAACTGTTAGTCTTTTCATTTTGTTTGGCCCTAACAGTTTTCTGCCAGGCTTTGCACCCCCGGATTTACGCCAAAGGCCAATTTAAGTGTAACAAACCCACAATCATCCCAAATATTTCAAATAATTATTTCGTAGGTCCAACTGAAATTTAGTCTCACTAATGATTTAAAAACCCCTTTCTGGTTTGTATCTCAATTGAGGGAAAATTATATATCCCAAAAGTCTAATGCTGACTTTGTAACTAATCCAATAAAACATCTAAAGCCACCGACACAGCAATAAAGCATCAAGTCCCCTTCAATAAAGTGCATGTGCACACAGGTATATATAGGGAATGCATGATTAGTTAGACACCTCTTTTTCACCAAAATCATTATTGTTCAATCTTAACATCTTGATAACATAGTTGGAAAATTCATTGGCAAGAATGATGCTGAGATGTTGGGCAGTTTACAAGATCTGGCTTGAATTGTGGCAAACAGTGAAGGTACCGAGGGCTTTTCATTCTATTTCTAATGGTTCTAAACTTAAGGAGAAAAGGATCTATAGAATTTCAAAATTTCCAAACAGACTTTTGAAGGATGTACCATTGGAAAGTATGTTTCTCCACCTTCAACATCACCACTTAAATACATGAGCATGGTTGCTACTCTTTGACCTCCCCGCTTTATATTAAACTGCAATAGAAAGTATTAAACCTCATTCAACCTAAAAAAAATTCAAAGATTGACAACTTGATTGCGAAATGAGATACGATGGCAGGTTATGGATGCAAAAGGTGATGGATAATATACTTCATCAGTGAAGTAGTCATGATGTGGTCTGTACAGCTCATTCTTCTCATACCTGTGCTTCTGCAGATGTTAGCTTTGTTTCTAAGAACAAAACAGCACAACTTATATATGAATCAATTGAACAATAATGAAAAGCCTACCTTAACACTTGAATGAGCTCCCCATTTTCAATTGGTATTTGAGAATAGACAGCTATCCGGTTTTCAATTGCCTAATATTGCAGGAAGCATATACGAAAGCGGCTAAATTAATCACTTACTAGTACACTTGTTTCAGATAATGAGAAAATCACCACCACAAGAAGATAGTGTTCTATAATCTAAAGCTTGTGATGCCATCGAGAAAGGGAACAGGCTAAGGCTTAGAGGGGGATGAATGACAAAATAAAATCATCTACAAATATTCTTGAGTACACAACAACCTGTATCATAGGGTATCGCCTCTCATCGGGATTCAGAAACATACCAGAACTTGTCCTGACATTGCTCTTGATTCCCTAGACAAGGGCAAAATAAAGTAGTTAAATAGCATTTAGAACAAATCAACAAATATATAGTGTACATTGCGGATGGGGCTAAAAGCGTTGAAGTTAACAATGTGTTAGCTTCGGGCAAATAATGGACAAAATTGAAATGGCACATTGAACTTCTTACTTTCTATGAAACTTTGGGTAGTACATGTAAATGTGAATGCAACAAGTGTCTAACAGAAACAGTCTCCTTGTATTTTACAGGGGTAAGACTGCGTACATCTTCACCCCCAACCCCAACAAAGTTGAGATTATCCTGAGTTGTATCGAATCAACAAATAGACAAATATAGAACTGTATTCCCCATAATGCAAATATATGAATGTTAACCAATGTGGAAGTTCTAAATTACCTATTAAAGAATAAAATGAGAAAGTTCAAGTTGCATTTTGACATATTTGAACGGAGCAAAGTTTCTATGCTTTCTAGTGATAAAGCACCGTAGAGGGGGAACTATATTACATTATTGATCCACCAGCTTAATGATGAGAGACCAAACAAACTAGAAAAAAAGTCATATGTATGTTCCGCTAACCAAACTTGAAAAAATGCAATACCAAATTAATCAACAAACTACACAAATCTACTTATATTAATTCTTTTGTATGACTATTCTCTCTTCCCTTCCTCTAATTCTATTTTATTTTTAATTGCTAACAATTATTTAAAAAATAAATTTTCAAACAAAGTTCACGTATATGGAATTAACTACCAAACTCCCTCACCCAATAACTACTCCACAAAGAAATGAATAATATTAATATTCTCCAAGTGAAAAAATGATTTTAATAAAAAAAGGGTTGCCTGGTGCACAAAGCGTCCCCGCAAGCGTGGGTCTAGGGAAGGGTCCCACCACAAGGGTGTGCTGTAGGAAAACCTTAAACAGTATTTCTACAAGTGGCTGCTTCAATGACTCAAACCTGTGACACATGGTCACATAGCAACAACTCAACCGTTATGCCAAGGCACCCCTTGAAGGGAAAGTGGAAAGGAAGCAAAGATGATTTTAATAACAACCCAGTATAATCCCACAAAAGCAGGGTCTGGGGAGGGTGTGCGTGTGTACCCAGACCTTACTTCTACTTTAAAGTACGGAGACTGTCAGCTCAGGCAAGAAGAGAAGCATAATATTCATAATGAATTTTAATACTCATATAAATTGAATATTGTTCATAATTCTATAAAATCATATTGATCTATAAATTTTCCCTCAAGCCAGAAACCACAACTCCACCACCCCACTCGGGTTTATTGACCCACTACCCAACTAAGCACATTAATAACCCTAACTACCCCTCAAGCATTTCCCACATTTATTCACTCCATATGCATTCTCTCGAATCCCAAAACTTGAGATCATTAGAAACAGAAAATAGGTTATGAGGAATGAAATAGGCCTCATTTTTCATGAAGGGGGCTTGGCAATGAATTGACCAAAAAGATAACTAAAGTGGCTTTCACTCTTCTACAGGTATCATGTAAACAAATTTAACATCTAAATCAATCAATTAATTTAACTAAGATAATATTATATTAAACTTTAATTTCAAATCCTAATCTTAACAAAATTTTGAAAGTAATAAAAACAATCAGCAATAATAATAGTACTAAATGTAACAATACATTACATACTCACTTTTCCAGTTTTTACATCCACCACTGTGGAAACATGAAGGCGGGGCTTTGCAATACCTCTAAGATAGTCGCATTCCTGTAATGAAATGTTGAGTTTCACTTCCAAGAAAATTCTTAAGCAAGAATACAGTTTCCATTTTCCCTGAGAACTAGCAACAACTCCAACAAGGTGAGTAATGCAAATAAAACTATCTAAATTCTGCAGGAATTTTACATTTCACACATCTTATCTAAGATACAATCTCCACTGGAAACTGATGAATGCATTTTATAGTATATTACTTCTATCTCAAATATTTTTACTTAGATGCAAATATTGAAACCAATGAAGAGTTACTTAGTGCACTCGATGAATGTGTGAGAGATTAGTGTTCAAAACACATATACATGATGAGATCACAAATGAAGAGTTACTTAGTGCATCACTGCATCCGATGAATGACTTGAGACATTAGTGTCTGATACACATATACAAGATAAGATCACAAATGAGTTAATTGCCCACAGGAAGGGGTTGTGGGTATATTGGGGGTATAATTTAGCTAAGAGGCAAAGAAAATAAAAACATGCAAGTCACTTTTATAAGAATACGTCCATTGTCTTTTAAAATGTTTTATAATTAAAATCACAATTTCATATAAAGAGCAATTCGTGTCATAATAATGGAGAGCTTGTGGTGGAAATGCACCCTTCACACAAGGATTTGTTATCAAAAAGTTTAACATTACATGGGAAGCACTTGGATGTGAAAGAAATAAGAGCTTTTTTTAGCATGTAAGTGATAAATTAAGTAATAGTTTATAAGTACTGATTAATGGTCATATGTCTACTTATAGTTTTGATTGGTGGCAAGTTCATAACAAAAAGAGGAATAAGTTAGATCAAGTTAGATTAAATGGTTTCGTGTTTGTGAAATACAATAGAACACTCAAAATGAGTCACAAAAATCGAGATGTGATTGATCATATCCTTGGTGATGATTGTAGCAAGAGGATGGTGGGTAAATAATCTTAAGAGGAAACAATTGAGGAAGCAATTGATGGATTGACTTGGGGTGATGTTTCTAGAGATGAAGAACCTACTATACTCAAGGTGGTTCTAGTACTACTACGCCTAAACAAACAACACCCCTGACAACATCTGCCACCACTCGTCGTCTTGTTAATGAGGATGAGGCTTATGGAGAAGGTTACAAACTCATTGTTGCAAGCAATGTAATGGAAGATCATGAATTGGTTTTGAGTGGTAGGATTATGATTAGCGATTTATTAAGATTTTAAATTTTGGTTACCTTTATGTCTTACTTGTAGATCCTTCTTATGCATTAGCAACTTATCTAAGTATTACTTTTTTAAAGGCATCAAAGTATTAACTTAGTTTCACATTTATGGCATGTTTAAGATAATTATTGCATTAAATTTACTACAACATATATAAATATATACATGTATATGGTCTCACACACAGATATATATATATATATATATATATATATATATATATATATATAACAACAACCAAGCTGTATCCCACTAAATGGGGTCGGCTACATGGATTAAACGATGCCATTATGCCCTATCAAGTACCATATATGCAGCCGGATAATTCACGCAAAGGTTTGCTTTGACCACTTCACGCCAAGTCTTCTTAGGTCTACCTCTTCCTCTAGCCGTATGTCTATTCACCATTTTGGATCAACCCTTCTCACCAGATGCTATATGGGTCTTCTCTCTACATATCCAAACCACCTTAGACGACCTTCCACCATCTTCTCTATAATAGGTGTCACTCCAATTTTAGCTCTCATATCATCATTCCTTATTCTATCCATAAACGTATGAATACTCATCCATCAAAGCATCTTCATTTCGGTCACACTAAACTTGTGTTCATGTGCACCCTTTGTTCCTTGAGTTTTAAAGGTACTTTTTTGTCACATATACAGCCCAAAGCATTCAACCATTCTGACCAACTTGCTTGAATCTAGTGGCTTACATCATCCTCTATTTCTCCATTGTCTTGAATGATACACCCAAGATACTTAAATCTCTTCACTTGTGGTATAGTATTTTATCCAACTTTCACCTCAACGCTAGTATTTCTCCTTTTGTTGCTAAACTTGCACTCCATATATTCTTAGTGCAACTAATATGCAAGCCATGCAACTCCAAAGCCTGTCTCCAGGAATCTAGCTTCCCATTTAAATCCTCTCATGATTTGCCCATAAGGATGATGTCATCGCCAAACAGCATGCACCATGGTACAGGTTCTTGTATATGCTCGGTAAGCACTACCAAGACTAGTGTAAAAAGATATGGTCTTAGCGATGACCCTTGGTGTAATCCAACACCAATGAGGAATTCCCCTGTTACCCCACTTTGGCTTCTCACGCTCGTGGTAGCATCATCGTACATGTCCTTAATCGCACATATACGGAAAATACACAGGTAAAGGTGGCCTATCCCCGACACTACGACCAAAGCAGAAGCCAAATGAAACCTAAAAATGAGAGTACAAAAGGAAAATATACATCTGTGTATATATGTATATATCTTTGTGTCTGATCTTTTTAAATTATTGTCTTTTGGTCACATGTCCCTCGCCACTTGCTTAAAAAAACTACCATGTCACCCACCTCTCACCTCTAGGATTGTAGCGATCCCTAAGCACTCTAGATGGCCCTCAAACTCAGGGGTTACTGACCTTGGGGTTGTAGCCGGGAGGTTTTGCCTAATACGGTGTTTGTTGGTGGAACCACAACATGTAACTGTGAGACTGGAACTGCCAAAGTTGTTTTGTGGGGGCACGTTGTTGGCTAGCGTACCAGCGAAGTTCATGGCATAAGGCAGGGTTTTGTGGTTTGGCAAGTTGGACCCATATCTAACCTTTCGAAGCTATGGATCCTAGGGTTGTAGAAAAAGTCCGAGAGCACGTCGATCCCCCATCTCCTCTCTAGACAACCCTTGAACACTGGGGTTACTGACCTTGGGGGCCAAGGTTGAACTGTTGTGGTGCGGGCCACACCTTCTGGTATTGTGCACAATGTTCCGCCATTATTCCGTTCCATGTTAAAAGTTTCAATTCTCTTATCGGATCAATATTCTAAGGAGGCCCGGATAGATAAGTGTAACAGCTCCTTAAAGAGAAACCAAAACCAATGAATATCTCCATTTCCCACCACCATGTGATCGAACCAAAATTTCGCATCCTCAAGAAGATGAAAGAATAGTGTTACAGCGAACTTATGGGGTTAGTTGTACAGAAACCCATCCTTCCGTAATAAAGGACAGAGAAACAACTTCTCCCTTCAAAGCCTTTTACTTAGTCTCCATCTCCATTGCAGAGAGTTCGACAATGGCCGAAGACATAAATTCCCATAGTTGTGTCACCAAATTGTCGGTTGTGGGTGGAACCATAAATTGCATGTTGATTGATACCATGTTGTTAAGGGCATGGTCTACAACATCAAAGAAATCCCTATTGTTGTCATGGATGAAGAAGAACCCCCTCTCTTGTTGCTCGTGACGAAATAGAAAGACACTTCTATTGCAAATCCTAGTAATACCTGTCAACATGGTTTTAACCGGTAGATGCCTAGTAAGAAACAACCATGTTCAGAGAATCTGTACCAGTCTTCTGTTAAATTAATCCATATGCACACACCCAGATTCATTAAACTAAATAGAGAGTGGAGATGTATTGCCTTTAGTCACGGTACTTCATACCAAATTGCTTACCTCTGTACTTAAAAAGTTATGAAACAAGATTATTCTTGGTGACCAGCTTAGTACTTCAGGTTTCACCTACAGTGATAGAACATCAAATTTCAAAAATCAGGTCTTTATATAGAAAAGCATTAAAGACAGAAAAACTCTGAGAGTTAGCCAAGAATAAGTGATGTACAGCAATCTTTCTTGAGGCCCTATTACGTGTTCCATATGACTTAAGTACCAGTATTTGTTCAATTGGGTCTACTACTTAGACCTTAGTTACTTATAAAGCCATAAAGGTGCTAACTGTTATCAAACCACCACCTTAGTAGTACACTACAATAAATTAGGCATGGGAGAATGTTTCTGGCTTACATAACCAAGACGTAGCATTAGAGCTTCTTTGTCATAAGCCAAATGTGAAACTCCTGAAATGAAAGGAGAGAGAAAGTGAAGATTAATCCAACTAGAACTAAAATTCCATTATTAAAAAAACAACTCATTACTTTTTACATTAAATTCTAGTATTTGAAAACAAAAACAAATTAAGGGCATCTGAATAGCAATCAAAGTTCATGATGTAGAATCCATCGGGTGGGACCATCAATTAAAAGGTAAAAACTGTTAGGTAAGCAATGATAAGTGTTGAAAGCATAATTTCAACGCACCAAGAGGTGTATAGCCTTTTCAAAAAAAATTCAAACACGTAATACAAACCTATTGGCAAAGGATGGACAGCATGTCGAATCCCACGCAATCCCCTCAAAGTGGGTTCCATCCCTGCATGATAGTATTCCTCCAAATTATACTACAAAAAACAAAGCATCTTGATATTATTCTAGGCGTAAGAAAAAAATAAAGGAAAGATCTCAAAAGGATGCAAAAGTATCTTAAAACCACCTGATTAGGTCAGCAAAAAGATACTCGTGTCTCACTGAGAAGAAAGAAAAAATGGAACTAAAGAAAGAAGAACAGAGCAACGACTACAAAGGTTTTTAGGTCATATGGTCAAAGTGCCCCTAAGTGATAAACCTCAAATATTCAAGAAATTAAGACTCGAGTGCATACTAATGAATCATTGAAGGCACGCAATTTCAAATATTTTGAACGACTCGTTTCTCTTTATAACAACAACATCAACATACCCAACATAATCCCAACTCCGTCAGGTCTAGGGGTCAAAATGTATGCAACCTTACCCTTGTAGAAAAAATAGAGAGATTGTTTTGGAGGACACTCGAATGCCTCGATGAGTTGATGCATTCAGTTCCCAAAACTTAACAGAACAAAGTAAGAAGCAAGGGAAGTTCAATGTGTCATTTTGATTTAGTCCACTCAATCATTCATTACCCAAAGCTAAAACATTGTCAAAAATGATTCATTAGCTCTGTTGGCAATAGACAATGACTCTTTTTTCTTTATGGCTAAGATTTTGGAAGTTGAGGACTTGAGTCATATAACAAAATATTGAAACTTTAATGAAATGAGTTGCCTCGGAAGTCATTCGAGACAAGAATAACTTCACAAGAGAGACCCTAATTCCAGCATACAAAAAATCACAGAGGCTACCATATGAATCTTCCAACCGCCGAATAAATGCCAATTGCACAAGAGCTCCTGCATGATACATTTCAAAAATTTGCCTTTAGCAGAGCCTATAACTGTTTTAAACAATGCTTGCATAAATACATTATTCGAATCATACCGCAATCAGAACTTTTAAAAAGAAGCGACGAAGTTCAAACAGAACAAAGGAAAAGGCCATATGAATCAATATCAAAGAGATCCCCAAGACCCCATCCAATATTAGCCTAGTAATATATTGAATAATTGAACAATTGTATTACTTGAGAAATAATGAATACAAGGTACAGTATATATAGGAGGGGATACAATCCCAACTAGTACTAGGAAACAATAGCAGATGCTAACTAAAATACTAAGTCTACCATAATTAGTATTAACTATAATCAATTGTCTAACACCCC